CGTCTCGACCACACTTACTCGATACTCGATTGCCAAAACGTGTATTTGGTTGCGCTCGGTGCTGAACGCCACAGTGATAGTGACATCCCTTCCGATTTCTGAACAAGAGCTGTGCACGCCTGTACGAGGAAAGAGAAGTTGCTGCTTGCGTTAGCAAAATATACGAGCCATGCCGGTGTGGAATATTATGGAATGCTATGTAAAAAATTAACTCCACGGAATGCAGATGTCACTGCTAAGGGCGTGATATGTCAATGCCCGAGAGCTCAGATCATGCGGCTGGAGCAACGACGCGTGTGCAACAGCACCGCATCGTAGCTTGTTCCAAGCGATGCACGTGCTGGAGAACAACGCTGTTCGAAAATGACAGCTTATGAACGCCATGACAATGAGCATAACCTTATCACGTGTTTATGATCAGGTCGTAGCAACAGTGCCATCGGTGTTGACAACGAAGTTCGTGGCCGAATGGTCCACTAGCAGTCTGATAACGGACTGACAACGGTGCCGACCGTTCCCAAGTCACGCGTATCGCAATCTGCGGATGACTCATCCTTGCCTTTTCATGTAAAAGCACACGACTGGCCGCTATGCCGGTGCTGCCAACTGGGCTGCCAACCGGACCGATATGTGACTAATCGAAACGAACTGGTCGACTGTGACGTCTCGAAGGGACCATCGAATAGAGCTCATGGATATACAACAATCAGGACAGAGTTATAATAAATCTATTAGCGAATATAATTAGAATCAGGGTTAGCAGAGCCAGTAGAGTATCATTAGAGCTAGCAAGCCCGGCGTTGCCGACCACCCCGTCCTCGTTTTGAGTACAGATCTGTGCTTCCACATTCGAGTAGCGTCGCATTCGTCGTCGGTGCGAGCGGTCACTGACTGCAGGCCATTTACCACGCATTACAAAACGGCCATCTGGCAACTGTAGGGTATTTAGCACGCATTACAGAACGCCCATCTGGCAACCGTAGGGTATTTAGCACGCATTACAGAATGCCCATCTGACAAAGCCGTTCATCTTGTTCTGGGCCACTTTCACCTCGTGGCAGAGTCGTCTATAAGCATTCGACGTCACGCGGCGGCCTGGCAGACCAGCGTATGAGCGTTAGGCATGGCGAGAGTGTGGAGGGAAATACACAGATGGGTTCGCAACTTTGAGAAGCTTTACGGTTGCCCAGAGAGCAGCTCAAGGAACCTGTGAGATTCAAGATTTCATGAAGTAACTACAACGCTTAAAATGGATCTTTCCTATTGAATTGATCGTCAAAACGCTCTTTTCAGCTGGTAAATTTTTGCGCTTAATTTCCGTAGCATCCCAAATGCACGCTAACTGCGTGCCTTGCACACACAAGAGACGAGCGAGCAGGCCTTCTGCTGGTGCTGTATCTTACTGAAAACCGTTGTTCTTAGCGTTACATTGAAACTAAGACGGCCACATTGTTTTTTTCGATTCCGTGCAATGAAACAAGGCAATGCAGTATAACTTCATGTGATGGAACTGCCGCGAGTAGTGCGTCGCAATGAAAAACATGGATATTGCACCGTGATGCTATTCAGCTAGCAGTGCACCCGCTCTCATAGCGCCCATGGTTAAGCTCAAACTTCAGGGACCATATTGCATCGTAGCGGGGGCATATGGAGAACTTCACAATGAGAGGGCCAGGGGGCACAGCTAACAGTTTTGCAGTGCGAATCCCGTTAAACGCCAGAAGTGCGTACGTTTGTTGCATTGCGTAAAGCAACGCGTTAAGCCACTATGCTTGCACGTCGCTGCAGTGTACACCAGCAGCAGATTTCGTCATATCTTCGTGCATCCTTCTCTTGGTTGCACACGTATTTAAAGCCGATTTGGCCATCGACCATTTACACGCCGCTCAACTCGCAGCTTTGAAGGCTCCAGGAGGTGCTCCAGAATAACTTCCAAATCGCTACACACGTCGTGCTGATCAGTCCTAGCTCGCATTCACGGGCCGGCTGACTTTTCAACCTGAAGGATCTGCCTTGATACACATTACGAAGGTTACACTTATTGTGGTGCTGCTATCTTATCATGGGCTGACGTCGTTTTCCTAGCTATCAAATGCCACAGCTCTGGAGACAACAGGGTCATAAATTAAGCAGCTGTGTATGGCCACTGGAGCGGACCCGGCGCTGCTGAAGCGTAACTGGTGCCCCCTGCCTACAACAACCGCGACAAAAAGGAGGCTAACGGGGGCAACAAGCAGCGCGTTTTAAGTCACAATCCAGAAGCAGACAACCACACAGGTACTGGATACACCGAAGCATCCAGCACATGCACATGTAACCCCTTTTCCCGGCATATCTACGGCAAACTGACCCCTACGTTTGCCTGCACCCCTCCCCCTTGCCCTGGAGGCCAAGGACAACATCAGTGACTGACCAGCATCGTGGCGACCTTGCTGCTGGTCTCCTCTGTCGGCAGGTAGAAGTCATCCCTGGTGACGTCATCCCTGGTGACGTCAGACGAGTCGGGTCCCAACATCGACTTCAGACGCTGTCAGACACGAGCAAGGGTCACCAACAGATGGCGCTGAGTTGTGTGCCTAGAGCCCCCTCCCCCTCAAACATAGCAAACCAAACATTTCTGGATCCGATCCCAGGATCTCATGAACACGGAGTGCCATGGGACCCTGGATCCACATTTTGGATCCAATCACATAGCTTTACTAGTACAGGTCACTAATCCATGCAGTGACATCGGTATTACTGCAAGCCAAACGTGAAATCGCACGAGAACTAGGTGTGTAAACGTCCAAAGCGTAGTGACCTACGCTTTGAACAAGCACACTTCGCCTCGGTCCCTGTTTCATACTTTTAAAGCATGAAACGGAGACCGATAACTGTGGCCACAAGCACGAGCAGCAAGAACAGGTGACCTGCAAGTCACACAGGGTTTAAATGAAAGTCGCACAAACTAACACGTGCCGGTGTACGAAGTGGGCAGACACAGGTCACAAGAAAAGCTCACCAGCACAGATCGTGTGCTAGTATACAATTGCATGCCCCAAACGTTTGCTTCAAGCTTACGCCGCCAACTTCAGCATCATACGCGTCTTATGCGTTCAGTGCAGAAACTAAGGCATGATCACAGGTAGCAGCATAGATCACAGAGTGTCAGTGTCACACGGAACGTTCGCAAACACAGTGCGGAAACACGCGTCACAGAGAGCTTTTACTTATGTTTGACACAAACACTTTACGTGCAAGCTCATCATGCTTGTAACATTACTGATGGAGTCAATCCAGTTACCACCGTGACCAACGATCGACAAAACACATGCTTCCACCACTAGTTATTACCTCGTGGTCACAAGTCACTGAACACAAGTACGAAATCATTTCTTGTGGGCACACTGGTGCCGAACAGCGATCTCATGCTATATACCTTTCCTTTAATGGCAAGACTACAGGAACGAACCCACTCGTAAATCAGAGCTTGCAAATCTAAAAAGACCACGTGTTGTTTGGATTGCTGGCTTCAGTAACAACAAGAAATTGGAGCCCATTTCGTTTTAAAACAGCACGATTTTCCAGCGCAATGCCACCATTCCTCAGCAACTTTTACACATAACCAAGCTACTTTCATGCACAATAGCTATATCCTGTTAACGTGACGTTCATGACGCAGCTTGAGAACCTCTGAAGTCCTTCACACGACACCCCCTCAGTGGGATCGCCCGCGTCCACCCACCTGAGGCACCAGCTGCCGCATGTCCAGGTGGTTCTTCTTCAGGTACCACAGCGCCACGGCCACGACGGGCAGCACGAACAGCAGCGACACCAGGTAAAGCGGCCGACTCTCAGCCTCCTCCGTCAGCAGCACCTCCTCAGCGAACACCTCGCGCACCGCTGGCCGCCGCCGACCGACCGATGGCAGCGGCGAGCTCGCCGCGCTCGGCGGGGCTGTCGACGAGGTGGGCCCGGCATCCAGGACGCGCTGGACGAGCTCGTCCTCCTCCTGCCAGTGGGACGAGGCGGTGGAGGTCGGGCTGGTGTGCCGGGTCCTGTTGCTGGCATCGGCGGCCGCCGCGACCTCGGCCAGGCTCAGCCGCGGCGCGCGCACCGTGAACTGGTCGAAGCTCTGCTCCGGCGTGGGGCTGTACGTCTGCGTGGTGGAGGCGTTGCGCGATCTCTCGGTGGTCGTCGACGGAGCCGACGGGTCGTCAAGCTCCGGCAGCGCGCTGCTCTCACCACTGGGACCACTTGTCGGCGCGGTGTCTCCCTCAGACACCTCTCCAGACGCCCGCCCGCCACCTGCCCGCTGTGCATCGCTTCCCTGCCGTTTCCCGGCCGCTACGCTGTCCCCGGCATCACGTCCCCTTGCCTCGCTCGCCGCCTGCGCCAGGCTGACCCGCTTCCGCAGCTTGAACTCCAGCGGCGAGACGGCGACCGACACGGACGTCTGCAGGGAGGTGCCGAGCACACGTCCGGCCGGCTGACCGGCCGACGTCACCGCCGCGCCGCCGCCACCCGGCGAGCGTCCCCCGGTGCGCACGGTCGTCTGCGATGTCGGCGGGAACGTGACGCTCACGGTGAAGTTGCGTCGGAGCGGCGGCGCCGTGATCAGGCCCGCCCGGAACGGCGCGGGCAACGTCGACAGCAGGATCGGCAGCGGTGCCATGGTGGGCAGCAGCGCGGCCGGCAGTGCGGCGGCCGTGGAGCCGCCGTCGTGCCCTGTCGACGCCGCCCTGTGGCCGCCATCGCCGCCCAAGGCGGAGAACACGTTCTGCCGCTGCCGTAGGCGGCGCGCCAGCAGGTTCTGGCTGCTCTTGTTCTCCACGGGATAGGCCCGGCGCAGCGACTCGAGGCGGCGACGGCGTTCGGCAGACGCGGTGTTCTCCGACGTCGAAGCTGCGCCTGCCCACACCGCTTCCGGGCGTCCACGGCGTCGGGCGTCTGAACTCTTCCGCGATGATGGTCCTCCCCGACCGGCGGTCTGCCTGGAGGTGCCCCGTTCCGTCGAGCTGCTAGACTGCGGGGGTCGCGAGGACAGTTGTGAGGACATCAGCTGCTACCTCAGACGTGGTGGGGACATCAGCTGCTACCTCAGATGTGGTGGGGACATCAGCTGCTACCTCAGATGTGGGGGGGACATCAGCTGCTACCTCAGACGTGGTGGGGACATCAGCTGCCGCTTCAGACGGCGAGGCAGGGGATGGACCGGCTGCTGTTGACGACGTCGGCGGCCGCGAGCTGCCTTCCGGGGAATCGCTTGTCGCGTCAGCAGGCGTCGTGTCCGCTCGTCCTGCGGGTCTCGCGGCTGATGGTGCTGGTGAGGCCGCTCTCCCAGCAGGCGACTCTGTGCCATCTCCCACGCGGCTGCGTCCAGCACCTCCAGCTCTCGACCTCGAGCGTCCTCCGTTTCCGCCCGGAACGCCAGTGCGCGCCCCGCCCCGCGCGATGAGGGCTGGCGACACGCGCGTCCGGTTTCTGATCTTGGCCAGCAGACCGAGCACCTTGCTGACCTCCTGCTTCTCCTTGTGTTCTGGCGGCGGTGGCGGTGTGGTGCTGGTCCTCCGTCGTCCGCCGCGCACCCCCTGCAGGCGGCTGCGGTAGCGGCCCAGACGACCGCGGATCAGCGCCGATGGAGGTCGTCTTGACGGCGACGCCGACTCGACGCCGCCCGAGGTCGGCCGAGCCGGCCGCTCGCTCGGCCTGGGCTGGGGCGGGCGGGCTGAGGTTTCAGCCTCGGTCGAAACGGTCGCTGTGCTCGGGGATTCGACTGCCGCTACGTTCGAGTCACCCTCCGCCTTCCCCGAGGGGGCCGGCGCACTCACATGTTCGACCTCAGCGTGCGTCGGCGGCAACACTTCGTCCGCTGCCGCTGGAGCGACCTCTGTCGTGGTGGAGTCTGCCGATGTCAGCCCATCTACGGAGGAAGCTGCGAGGGATGGATGTGTGGTCGTCGCAGTTGCCTCGTCGGTGGTAGGTGTAACGTCAGCTGACGTTTTCACTGAAGTTGCTTCAGCATCCGGTGGTGTCGGGGTTGTCACGTTGTTCAGCTCTGTGGCGCTGACCTCGCCGTCAGCTAAGGGTAACTTCCGCGGACTGTCGATTTCATTCTCCACCGCCGGCGCCGTAGCATTTGTTCCCACACGTTTCACTGCAGCTGGCTTTGTCGTGATCGTCTCACTCACAAGCGGTGCCGCCTCCGGTGTGATGCCACCGCCTCCCCTCACTGCCTTCCGCCTGGCCTTCAGCCTGTCCTCACTGAGTCCCTGGGTGGCACCTCGACCCCGCCCGCGTCCGCGGGCGTCCTCTCCGGCGCCAGACACCACCTCACTGCGGGTTGAGCCCAGCGCCTGCGCGCCCTGCGCCTCGCCTGACCCTAGCCGCCGGCCAAACCCTATGAAGGGCTGTAGCTGATGCTCGCCGACCAGCCCCTGTGCCAGCAGGAACTCCGGCTGCAGGCTGAAGTGTGAGTCATTCAACAGCGCCAGGAACGGCGGTTCCAGGTAGGCGCCGAAACTGCGCTCAGTGGTCGTCGGTGCTGCCGCCTTGCGGCGGCGGATGACCTTGAGCGAGCCTCGCCGGCCGCCGCTAGATGACTCCGGCCGTGTGACGTGTCGCTTGAGGGCGGCATTGCGACGTGACTGGGAGGGGGCCACCACGCGGAGGAGGCGGGCGGAGGCCGCGCCCACCGCGTCCGGCGACGACGAGTCTGGAAAAAAGAGGACGCACGCGGTCAGCCAACTGTCTGACGCAAATCGCAGAGGGCGTTTGAGTGCGAGAATGTGCGAGGGGTTAGTTTCAAACGAGAGGACACGTACGAGACGCGAGGAATCTTCGCAATAAATGACGAAAACAGGATAGACGATGAAGCCCAGAAGTCAAGATAGGTCTGAGGCAGGCCGCAAATAGAAATGAAGCCTTTCACGGGTGTGACAGTCTTAATTTATACTTGCCAAGTCTAAGTCTTGATTTTTATCTCACGGTTTGTGAAGGTCTTGAAAGACTCGACGAGCCGCAGTCAACACGCGTTGGGGTGGGTGGGTTGGGGGATGGGGTAAGATTGACTGCCCAAAGATTTTTACAGAATAATTTCCAAACGGCGCGGCGTAGCCCCGCTAAACTTTGCTTAGCTGTAGAGAATTAGATACCGGACATTGTTATGTAAAAGGGATGATGCACCTGGTAAGGTCGCTAACCCATGGGCGGTAAAACCCAGGCCATGGCTGTCGGCGAAGGACATTTGTGGGGAATCATTCAATGTGATGCAGCAACATAGTGTGAGATGAAGCCATACATATCTTGGATAGTTTCTTAGGCAACACAAGATTAAATTCAGAATGGTAACAAATTTAACTCACCTAGGGGCAAGTATGTAGGCCAGAGCAAGGTAAAAACTGACCTTAAGTTTTAGTCGAGAGCTTGGTTTAATGGGGTAGTCTTTGGCGCTGATTTCGAGTTGGTTAGCGACAGGGACTGCAACAAACATGTTCTACTGACCTTTTAAAGGCCAGAGTATGTGACTGACCTAAAATGACCCCGATCAACGTTTTGTTTTTAGGAACATATCGCCTCTAGCGTGGTCCCAAATACTGATTCGAATAGCAAAATCAGGGTCATCGTGTAGATATTTGGTCACCTTGACCTTATGAAGGTCAAACAATGTCACGGGCCTCATTAAGCTCTTGCCTGGAACAGGCATTCACGGCGGTTGCATAAGAAAGTCTGGGGGCACCTGGGGCACCAACCTGGATTTTGACCTTGTCTGACCATATTGAATCCCAAGGACATCACGTGGGAATACACAATTTTTACACATGTAAGTTCGCGCAAATTTTAATCTATAATGTGAACATTACGTGTCCGGCTATCTTAATTTTTGAGATATCAGGGAGTCAGTCACCCCTACTGGAGCAAAGGGCATTCAGCCGACCACCCGGGCGCGTGTTGAGGGTTGTTACATACCAAAGAACATCCGGTTGGCAGAGTATGATGTTAATGATCGCGATCAATTGACTACAGAGGGAGAAGGATGCCGTCTAACGTAATGTCTGGGGTTTGTCTTGGCAACTTACGTAATGTCCAGGGTGTTTAGGGCAACCAACGAGTGCAAGGAAAAAGCTTGTAGAGCGCTCCGGCAAAGCACTTCTGCATCGATACTTTGACCAAATACAGATACAGACAGCGAACACGTTCATATATATATATATATATATATATATATATATATATATATATATATATATATATATATGTGTGTGTGTGTGTGTGTGTGTGTGTATGCCCCGAGCTTCGCAAGAATGGTGCCTCCAAAAGCCGGATGCTTTGGAGAGAAAACGGCGATGAAAAGCTTCGAAAGGCTCCGAAAGCAAGCAGTGTTCTGAATACTGCGCGTGCCCACTGCAGGGGAAGAACCCATCAATGAACTAATCTGACGATATTTTTGCCATTGGCGATCACGAACGCAACTCCCGTTGCGGTCTTCCACAACTCTCGCCATTAACAGCACAGCTCATGCGTGAGATCATTGAGTTTTAGTGCAGCTGGCGCATCTCATTCTGTCCAATCTGCCTTATTTGCCCATTGGAGAGAGGGGCTGGATGAGCCAGCACGACCGGTTCGGTGAACAGTCAACAGCACGTGACCGACATATGGGTGAGCCAGCGAAAAGCCGCTTAAAGCCTTCTCAATTGCGAAATGAGTTTATGACAACGTCTTTATCAGCGCGCATGCTCCCAATACTTCACTCACATGTCCTGGATCGTAGATTTAGCGCTGTGCTGCGGCATCGAGCGCTGTACTGCGTTTGTCTGAACCGTGTCAAAGCAGCTTTGCAGATAACGCAGTAGTGGTTCAGATGATCTAGTGTGTTCTTCTCAAGGATGGATGTGTTTGCCATGAAACTTGTTCACCCACAACGGCGTGCGCAACCCAAATCGCTGAAATTGAGCGCGGCCAAAGGGAGGCGTCCGCAACCCATTGCAACACCGCGAGGTGTTAATGCACCTCGAAAGTTTCGTAAAACCGTGAGAGACGACAGTACGACCGACGCGCCGCGAGCCGTGACAAACCAATCAGCGGGATGACGAACGGAATTTGTCACGGCCCAGCACTAGTGTGTCATCCGTCGGTTCGGCGGGCGTGACTGACGGAGCCGCCGGACCGGTCCGTCACGGCGGCCCGCAAGTCACAGTCATCGCGGTCCGCTGATGCCGACGTTCCGGGTTTTGGTCCGTGCTGGCCACGTGAACCAGCTGCCGCAGCTGCCGCACGGCTGCTAGCTGACGCGTGGAGTGGCAAGATTGCCAGCGTGTCATACTATGCATCCATCATGATCACTCAGGTTAACTCCATCAGCCCACTTCTCGACTAGGATACAGATGAAATAATCATCTCCCTACTTCTTTAAGAAAAATGGGCGAACTTCCCACACAAATGGTCATTAGAGAGCACTCTTTGCTCACCGTTGATTGTTGTCAAGGTTCCCAATCCACCGCCCCGGCCGAACACTGCGTCCAAATCAAGTAACAGTTTTGTTTGTACTGTAGGCCAAACACCGCCGAACTACGCATCGGTGCAACACGTCACCACGACACGGTCACTCGGTGTCAATCTGACCCCCTCATGGCCAGGTGCCAGTTGTTCATCCCTGACGATAGATCCAGAACGTTGTCTCTGGGACGGGAGTAAGAGTGAGTAAGTACGTAGCTGAGAGTTTCTTAGTCTGCCGCCTAGTGATCAGCTGTCCGTCGCGATGTTTTCAACTCAGCTACGGGTCCTTGATCGTAGGCTTCGTGGGTTAAGGCGCCGGCTAAGCGCGCATAAGTTTGTCATGCTGGGAACACAAGGATACAGGCAACCCAACCGCGTTACGCGTTCTTTCTTGTACGCAATGACGGAAGAAAATCAACTAAAAATGAAAGTTTCACGATACTTTTGAGACGCAAGTGCCAATAAACCATTTAGTCTGAAGAGCGTGCGCTGCGTGCCCCTGTCAGATCACTGCAGCTGGCGCCGGTGAAGCCTGGGATCGGTGGGACGTGGGGCCCGCCCGTGGGACCCGCCCGTGGGACCCGTGGGGCCCGCCCTAAGTCGCCAGAGGAGACGGACTTCCCCGCGGAAAGTTTTGCCCCTCCGTTGGTGCCGAGCGTGCGTGAGTCCGGAATGAGAAGTAATTGGACGTAATGCGCCCCTTGCTTGGTTTTCCTAATTTGGACGCGGCCAACCGTACTTTGGATCGCACGTCACTTTCATCCTCGGTTATTACGCCGAGGAGTCTGACTTCTTTTCATGAAAGGACCCATTACGTCTCGGTGGCAGACTTTCGAATGGACGTTGTCGACGTTACGCTACAGTTTCCTGGTAAAGAGAGCTAATGATATTTGGCACCCGCGTTTCCTTGCTTTGTTTAATTTTCAAAACATTGCTGATTCATAAAAGCATGTCTTAAGATGGAAATGCTGAGATGCGCGCCTTGTGTTTCTCGATGTGTTCGGGCGAGATTGATTCATGTTTACATCTTCTCCAAGACGCCTCAGAGGCGCAGCGATGTGTCCACACACGTCCGGTCTCCAATCCCAACATGGCCATTAGGCGGCATGACGTGGGCTTTCAGACGAAGCATAATTGGCCAAACCGTCTCATGTCTCAACCAATGACATAACGAGCGCTGGCGCTGCCGGCGGCATTCGTGGGAGGTGCAGCAACGTCGCTCCCACGGGTCAGTTTACCGGCCGTTCGCTCCCGAAACAAGGTCGGCGGCGGGGCCGGCGACTGGGACCAGGATAGCCAAACACATCGTGACGTTGGCGAGTGTGAGCCCCAGCCTGCGCTGGACAGCACGTTACGGCGCTGGGGCCGACAGAAGACTGCGTCATCCCACGCAGAAAACGGAGGGCGCGCGCCGTACAACGCCCCTTGGGACGCAACAGTGAGGTCTGGTTTGGTACGAGAATCAGTGGTGAGATCGTGGAGAGTTGGCTCGCAAAGTGCATGGAGCACCGGTAATCGACGTGTCTGGTAAAAGTTGAAAGATGTCACCTCATCCCTCTCGGCCCAGGCAGAGCGGGCAGAGGCGGGCCAGCGGGCAAACAATCAATCGATCAACCAGTCAATCAATCAATCAGTCGATGCAGGCGGGTGAACAATCCTATGTGACGCTTGAAGTTGGTGTCAACTGTAGGATATGATCGACGACAAGTGCAAAAGGGCACGAGAGGAGCCGCTGGCATTCGCCTGACTGAAATAAAGTTGCAATGTCATCAAGCATTTCAAATGAACTGCCAAATCGCCTTACACACACATTTGCCCGGTCAAAACCATTCCGGGGCAAACAAATGGTGTGTAATGAACGGTCTTACCCCGCACCCCCGCAGGTTGTACGCCGTCATCTAGCGCCGCAATCAAAGGTTTTGTTCAAGCCGTGTCGCAAATCCGTGTCTAGCTGCTCACTGTTGCCTTATCAAATCCGTGTCTAGCTGCTCACTGTTGCCTTATCTAGCTGCTCACTGTTGCCTTATCAAATCCGTGTCTAGCTGCTCACTGTTGCCTTGTCTAGCTGCTCACTGTTGCCTTATCAAATCCGTGTCTAGCTGCTCACTGTTGCCTTATCAAATCCGTGTCTAGCTGCTCACTGTTGCCTTGTCTAGCTGCTCACTGTTGCCTTATCAAATCCGTGTCTAGCTGCTCACTGTTGCCTTGTCTAGCTGCTCACTGTTGCCTTATCAAATCCGTGTCTAGCTGCTCACTGTTGCCTTATCAAATCCGTGTCTAGCTGCTCACTGTTGCCTTGTCTAGCTGCTCACTGTTGCCTTATCAAATCCGTGTCTAGCTGCTCACTGTTGCCTTATCAAATCCGTGTCTAGCTGCTCGCTGTTGCCTTATCCCCCTGCCAGTGTAATATACGCCGCATTACAACTCAATGGCATGCACCGAATCAACAGCAGCGCTTTGTGTTGCCGGCTCAGCTGAAAGTGAGCACCCGGCTGCTGCTGGGAGTGGTCACCCGGCCGCTGCTGGGAGTGATCACCCGGCTGCTGCTGGGAGTGATCACCCGGCTGCTGCTGGGAGTGATCACCCGGCTGCTGCTGGGAGTGATCACCCGGCTGCTGCTGAGAGTGAGCACCCGGCTGCTGCTGGGAGTGATCACCCGGCTGCTGCTGAGAGTGAGCACCCAGCTGCTGCTGGGAGTGATCACCCGGCTGCTGCTGAGAGTGAGCACCCAGCTGCTGTTGGGAGCGAGCACCCGGCTGCTGCTGGGAGTGATCACCCGGCTGCTGCTGAGAGTGAGCACCCGGCTGCTGCTGGGAGTGAGCACCCGGCTGCTGCTGGGAGTGATCACCCGGCTGCTGCTGGCAGTGATCACCCGGCTGCTGGCTCCCAAGTGGGGCTTCCACGAGACGTGTCCTAAACACCGTTGCCGTACGCTGATCGACCAAGGCTACGGCCACTAACAGCGTGGATATCCCGGGCTCATTCGTTTTGCTCCAGTGAGCAGGAACACAAACCGCACTAGCCGAACTGAGATGTGCTGAGATATTTCGCCGCAAATTGCTTCCGGTGTTCACAGCGCATGAGTGTCATCAAGTGGCCTCAGAGGATCCTCAGAGGAAATGCGGGTGACGGGGGGGAGGGGGAGGGGCAAGACGAAGTATAAGCCGTTCAAGTTTTAGTTGCCCATCATGCTTTTCCATTTCTGTTTGATTTCTAGTTGATGCACACCATGACTTTTATAAGTGTTTTTTTTTACCAAGTTTGAATTGAAGTTTTCATTATAAGCCAAATGTGGAGGTAGGAGCGTATACATTTAAGATCTTAGCCTGAAGATCTCAGCCCAGAAGTGGCCTTATTTTTACAGCTTTTTTATTATAGGGGGCTCAACCCACGTCTCTATCTTACCCGATTGGCATCGCACTTGCACACGATCTCGATTCAAGAAGATAAAGACCCTATACAGGAAATTATTTTGGTGTCTCTCAACTTAAGCATGTCGCTAGTTGCACACGAAGCTTACTTTGAAATGAGAAAAACGCGTGAATTCTACTTTAGACCGACTCACTGCATATTCACGTCGCCAGATCAGCCAGATCCCGCGGCTATCCTTCTCTGAGATCGTCACACGATGTCACATCAGCCAGATCCCGTGACTATCCTTCTCTGAGATCGTCACACGATGCCAGATCAGCCAGATCCCGCGGCTAGCCTTCTCTGAGATCGTCACACGATGCCACATCAGCCAGATCCCGCGACTACCCTTCTCTGAGATCTTCACACGATGCCACATCAGCCAGATCCCGCGGCTATCCTTCTCTGAGATCGTCACACGATGCCACATCAGCCAGATCCCGCGACTATCCTTCTCTGAGATTGTCACACGATGCCACGTCACTGATGGTTAACGAAAATATGGGTGAAGCACTTTACATTCGTTCAATGTCCGAGCTTCTCCCGCCTTCACCTGGGCCGAGCTGAAGCCGACCGTGGCAGGCTACCGGCCGTAGCAGGCTGCCGGCCGTAGCAGACTGCCGGCCGTAGCAGGCTGCCGGCCGTAGCAGGCTGCCGGCCGTAGCAGGCTGCCGGCCGTAGCAGGCTGCCGGCCATAGCAGGCTGTCGGGCATAGCATTCTGCCAGCCGTAGCAGGCTACCGGCCATAGCAGGCTGCCGGCCGTAGCAGGCTGCCGGCCGTAGCAGGCTGACGGGCATAGCAGGCTGCCGGCCGTGCGCCAGGTCACACGGCACCGGCTGAGTGGGACGAACACCGGCTGGGTGTTCTGCGGTCTGACGAACACCGGTTGGGTGTGTGTCGCGAGGGGGAGGGGAAGGGGAGGGAGAGCCGGGAGCGTCTCGCTTTCTCGGACCGACTGATAAGCATCCGAGTCTACACACCCAATCAACCGTGCCTTGAATGATTGGTGAGTTCCAGATAGAAGCACGAGTGAGCACTGTGTGCCGCAGACAATGCAGCCATCAGTGAGCTCTTCCGTACCTTTCTTGTCCTTCGTAAATATCAGTGTATCATCAGATTGGTTTCCTTAATTGGGACTCTTGTTTTCACTTCTCCGTTAGGCATGCGTTTCTCCACTTAGATGAAACGAGACATGCATCGGGAAGATGGGAAAGCGGTTATCAAGCTAGCATTTTGTCTTCTAAATCTGTATGTGGGAAAAGCTGGAGGCATCCTCATATCTTAATTCAACCAGACGTGTTCTTTCATCAAGCTTATGCCTCCACGAGAGGCCTATGCACAGCTACCAAAACTTCAGCCATCTGACGTCAGACATCCAGGAGAGACAAACACCTTAGGCGCCTTCGCAATCTCACCAGTGTAATAGCTGCACTAAATCAACGTTTCCTGTTTTTTTCGTTTCCGCCGACTGTTTGGTGTGCTGTGTTCGATAAACTAGTTGCATCTTTACCAACAAGCATATTGTATCTGATTCCATTCCATCCATTACCGGTCCACTTCATCTTCAACACGCCAAACGCGTGTTGCTGCCGCTCCGACCGTCAGCTGTCCACATCCCAAGACGCCGGCAGTGCGCCGCGCCACTTTCGTGATCGGGCCGCAGAAAGGCGGGGCGCGGCGCGGGCGGCGCGCGCCCCGGCGGCCGGCAGCTGGCGCTTTCACCATTGTGGCGCAGCTGACGCGCGGCGCGGCAGGCTGGGGCGGGCCGCGGGCCGCGGTGTGGGGGCGGTCAGCGCCCGCTGGCGGCTCTCATGGCTTCGGCAGCTCAGGGACGCTGTCTGGCGCAGGGACGGCAGCCCGGGGACGCTGTCTAGTGCGGGGACGGCAGGTCAGGGACGCTGTCTGGTGCAGGGACGGCAGCTCAGGGACGCTGTCTGATGCCGGGACGACAGCTGAGGGGCGCTGTCTGATGCAGGGATGGCAGCCCTGAGGCGCTGTCTGATGCCGGGACGACAGCTCAAGGACGCTGTCTGGTGCAGGGACGGCAGGTCAGGGACACTGTCTGATGCTGGGACGGCAGCTCAGGGACGCTGTCTGGTGCAGGGACGACAGCCCAGGGACACTGTCTGGTGCAGGGACGGCAGCTCAGGGACGCTGTCTGGTGCAGGGACGGCAGCTCAGGGACGCTGTCTGGGGCCGAAACTGCCGTTGCCGTCCGAGTGGCTTCCTCTGGCGACCTTGGATCATTTGGCCAGTTCGCATGTGCTGTTCTGGTTCTTAACCTGCACGACCTTTGTGGGGTTATGCGAATAAAGAGGCAGCGTCGGGAAAGGTTAGGATGGACGAGACGGGAGGACAGCTCAGGCTAGGACGCGGCCTTATGCTGGAGACAATCTGTCCCGGAAACATTAAGCCTTGCAGCCTTAGAAACCAATCCCTGCCATAGGCTCGGGACTATGAGTGCTTGGCCAGGCATGGATGCCGGGGCGGCTCGCTCAAAACCGAACCCTGTCAGTGGGTGGCCGCTGTACACGCTTGCGTGGAGAGACGCACAACAATTAGAAATATTTCGTGAAGACCGGGGTGCCAAGGGAGGGCGCCAAGGTGAGCTTTACTACCGAAATTCCGATGCTTGTTTCGTCATCTAGGACTCGGTGCCTCGGCTCGCTCTCCCCTCAGTGTATCGCCGTACTTTAGTGTTCCACGCTATCATAACGGGCTTTGGGTCTTCTCTTCTCGTCTCTTCAACGGATCTCATGCGATTGTCTCCAGAACGGTAGCATCCGCGACTTCCCTCCCTGGCCATGCTGCTTTCTCAGCTGAAGTCGCACGAAGACTCTGACGCTCCGATCTCAACGTGCATCTACACTCCGGTCTCCGACCGACGCCACACACCAGAGCCTCCGCCATGTCCGCCAGGGCGAGCAGCGAAAACCCGGTGACCAGGCCGAGGAAGCCGCCTATGTCGGCCAGCAGCGTGCTCTGCGTGAAGGCAACCGCCTCCTGAACCTCGTCGGCAGCCAGGTCGAGCGTCAAGAACGCTTCCGTAAAGCACGGGGACACGGTGCTGCCGTGGTCGTCGCATCCTCCCGTCAGACTCTCCTGGTTCAGGTTATAGGCGACTCCGCGGCAGGCGCTGGGACAGTCGCGGCCTCGCAGGTCCTCCGCCAGACTGCTGGGCACGTACTGATGCGCTGCCGGTCTTCTTACTAGGTATGGGGCCGGCGGAGGTGGAGCGCGCCTGGTTCTTAAAGCGCGTCGCTGGCTGTTGCCGGGGGCTCTATTCGCGGCCTGCCCTCCGGCCGCCGCCGTCGGGTATGAGTGGTATTCCAGCTGGGGCCGGCTCCATGAGATGTTCAGGTCCAGGCAGAGAGAACCCCGGAACGGCCAGGGAAGGATCTTGTCTTCCTCTGCCACCTCCGACTGCACGAGCCGTTCGCACACGGGCAGGTGGTCGAGCGGGCCCCGCATCTCGGGCAGGAATACGCCAGCCGACACCATGTGCGGCAGCCGGCAGCCGATGCGCGCCGCCAGCCGCCGCCACTGGCACTCCTTCAGACATTGTGCCACTGAGTAGCCTGGCTTATCGCGACAGGGCCGCCGGCGCACGTTGACCAGCCGCCGCAGCCGCGCCGTCACGTGGTAGCCGGTGACCTTCCCAGCCCGCAGCTCGCGTCCCGGCGTCACCGGCATGGGCATGTCGGAGAGCGGCGCCGGCAGGTCGCCCACGCTCGGCTCCTCCGGACCGTGCACGTACAGCCGGTAGGCCACCTGGCTGGCCTTGCTGGTGAAGAGGACGGGCACGTGCAGCAGCAGTCGGACTGAGAGTGGGCTGTGGCAGCTTCGGTGCAGTGCCGCGCTCGGCTCGAACGTTAGACAGCGCATCGGCTGCCACCGCCGCCTTCCCAGATGCAGAAAGAAGCGCTGCCGCCAGACCCCCAGCGGCCCCGGCAGAGGCACGGTGCTGATTCCGCGGTGGCCCCTGATGATCTGCAGCTGGTCATAGCCGGTTGGCAGGATCTCCAGCGTGGTCCGGTTGTAGAACTCGACGACCGAGAGCGAGCCGTTGATCAGTTGGTGGTACAGGTCGATGATCAGATCCTCCTCGAGTCGATGGCCGGGGCAGAGCGTGAGCCGCGGGAACGGCGCCACCGTTCGCACCGTTGTCGGGCTGACCGGCTCAGCGCGGTACTCCAGCACCTGCGCCCACACCAGGGCCAGCAGCAGCAGCAGGAGCGTCGTGCGCGCTGTCCAGCGCAGAAGGGTACGGACTCTCCCGCACCGGCGGGCTCCGCCTGCACCAGCACCCATCCTGGCCACGGAAACGCCACTGAAAACCCCCCAGGGGTGGTACCATCCCGCCTGCCGCATGGTGTTCTCCGGTATCGATCAGCGACGCTCCTGTTGAAGCATGCCGTTGCATAGCGATTCCGTCGATTACTTAAATGGAGCGCGACGGCTCAGTGGATGCGTCGAGGTCAATGCTACGGATAGCGGTGTCCCGACAGCACTGTTATGCCTACCACGGTGAAGTATGGTAGCTTGCCGACCATCAATGGAAGCCGTTAACTAACAGGTCCGGTGATTGGTTGCACGGAGCGCGACGATCCAGCGGAGGTCGATGCCATGGATACTGGGAAACCGCCACCCATGTTATACATGGCAGGGTGACGTGTGGTGGCTCCCCGACCATCAGCGGAAGCCTTTGTCATCCTTTGCTGTTGAAGGCTTAAGTATTGGAGACAGGAAATCGATTTGTTTGAGGTTCTCCAGAATTGATCGCTACATGCTTGATTACATGCTCACATGCTAACATGACCGCATGTTTAATTGTCTTGCATGACATGCTTAGAGCTTACAGGCAGTGTCCAACCTTTGTGGCATATTTCATTTGCATACTTAAGTGAAACTTTAAGACGACTGGCATCTAATAAAAGCACTAGGTAGTGTCATTGCAGCACCGCAAAGACCTAACAAGGACATCAATTCTAATCACGAGTCGAAGTTATGATGGGAATGAGGACAACTAGAAAACAGGGCCGAAAGGGGCGGTTGATGTACCAGGAGGTCATCACGGAAGCATGGGAGGGTACAGATGATGACTTCAGTTCTTAACAGGAGAACGCTGCACGCCACGTCCGATATGACTCCCGTCTCGTAAAGTTGTTTCAAGACTTAAGTGAACGGCTTAAGACAAACATGGCAACGCCAAGAAAAAATGCTTTCCGCTTTTCAGGCAACATGTAACTTCCCAAAATATGGGGCGTCAGTTAATATGGAACTTGGCTTGCCTCTACAACAGTTGTATGGCCCAAATTGCTTTTGACCATTTTGGCCGAAACATCTGTTGACGTGCACCCGGATGTCTACGATACGTCCTCAAGCACGAACAGCACCAGAGGCGCCATCAGCAAAACCAGATGCTGTTCCCATACCATCTCTAATTACCTCGGCCGCCGCACAGCCCGGTCCACTGGCCCGAAAAACAGCGAAAAGTGAGCCGTGGCAGCCGCACCCCCACCCGGGGAGCGGCCGCCGCGCCCGCCCGCAGGTATCGTCGCAGGCCATGCTGGGGCGGCGGGTCACGCGGTCAGAGATGAAGCCTCGTCCGCACCGCCGGTGTACTGCACCGGCCGACGTCGGCACCGCCGGTGTACTACACCGGCCGACGTCCGCACCGCCGGTGTACTGCACCGGCCGACGTCGGCACCGCCGGTGTACTGCACCGGCCGACGTCGGCAGCGTCGGTGTACTGCACCGGCCGACGTCGGCACCGCCGGTGTACTGCACCGGCCGACGTCGGCAGCGTCGGTGTACTGCACCGGCCGACGTCGGCACCGCCGGTGTACTGCACCGGCCGACGTCCGCACCGCCGGTGTACTGCACCGGCCGACGTCGGCACCGCCGGTGTACTGCACCGGCCGACGTCCGCACCGCCGGTGTACTGCACCGGCCGACGTCCGCAGCGTCGGTGTACTGCACCGGCCGACGTCGGCACTGCCGGTGTACTGTACCGGCCGACGTCGGCGCCGCCGGTGTACTGCACCGGCCGACGTCGGCACTGCCGGTGTACTGCACCGGCCGACGCTGTCATGGCTGCCTGTTGCCGGCAGCCATTATCGACGCAGATTTGATGCGGTGTGTGAAACGCTGCACAAGTGGTATAGGTGTCGTCTTCCCACCGTCTCAGCACAGACAATTTGGGAGGCACAGAAGACTGGCTTACCTAAAGGACATTTGATGTAACAACATAAACCGCGCTGAGCTCAGCGCATCAATCTGCTGACATGTGCCGGGTTCTGTTATAGCCTGCTCTTAGAAGGCGCGAGAACGACGCCCAGCGTTCAGCGCGAATCGACGTCACGTTTCGTTTGGGTGCTCGCGGTGTTCGTGGCACGGGACGCTGGCGGCCTGGTTTTCCGCACTCGGTGTCTGGTAGTGTCGCAGCCATTGTCGAAAGAGCTGTTCTGTTACACTTTGCATACAACGGACCCGATGCCTTGTCATGACGCAGCCATTGTCGAAAGCGCTATTCTGTTACACTTTACATACAACGGACCCGATGCCTTGTAGTGACACGGCCACTGTCGAAAGAGCTGTTCTTTAACATATTACGTACAGCTATCCTCAGCTAGATTTGCTGCTAGACGTTTATTGATTCATGACGAGTGCCAGAAAATGCCTAAAGGGCCCCCAGCGGACAACAGAAGCCTCCTTCCAGATGTCACTGCATGTTACGCGTCAGCGGAGCACCGCATTCCGTTGGAAGCACCACGCCCCCTCTCCTACCACGCGCCTGAATTTTTGCCATGATCCACTAATGTCGCGCCCAACTCGCCAGAAATTCACTAAAAATCACCAAAACAACAAGCTTTCCGATGGGTTTTGCGGATACTCACTGCTTACAGCGTGCTGCAGACTGGACACTGTAAAGCAGAGCTATACAAACTGCGAGCTGTACACTGAAGCACTGCAGTATATATGTTCCACTGCAGTGCCACGTACTGCTGGTGTAGTCCGTAACGAGCAACGCGGGCTCCCCGAGAGCCTGCGCCGCGTGCAAGCCGTGCGACGCACGCGCACGTGCCGTGCATGTCACTGGCGCGACAGCCAGCGACGGGCACGCGGCCACTGGCGCCGGCCGCTGCCACTGCGCGGCACGTGACGTCGCCACACGACACGTGACGTCACCACACGACACGTGACGTCCCGCTCCGTCACGCTCCGCCAGCGGCCGAGATGACCTTGAGTGACCGCACGCTACGCAACGGACGTGTGCGTAAACGCCATCCATCATCCTGTCACCAGTATAGCGGCGACAGAAAACAACACGTTGTCTCTAGCGTTAACATCCGCCAATGGTGGATCTGTGTGCCTTTTTGGAATAGCCATTTCCCCGATACTGATATCGGCTCCATATATCGCCCGTGAACAAGGCACGCGTCTGCCTTGGGAGGAAGCGTGGTGTTCCTCCGACACTGCTCTACAAAGAGATTCGCTCCTGCCACCGCAGCTCGGCCTGCGACCCTGTCTCCCGCCGCACTGGTGGAGGGGGGGGGGGGGCTGGACGGACTCCGGGGAGGGGCGGGCGGGGGGGGGGGGCAGGACACCGCGGTCGGCGGGAGCGCCGCGCTACCGCCGCGTCCCGGGATAACCTCGCTCCGTTCCGGACTGTTGGCCGCCCGGGGCCACCGTGACCACCACAGGCTCCGCCTCTCGCACTGTGCGGTGCTTGGAGGCGACCCAGCAGCACAGCATGGAGTTCAGTATCAGATGCACGCACCGGGTCCCCAGTGAACCAGCGCGTGACGCGCAGCTGCTAGTTGCTTGTGTCGCGCTTGAGTCTCCACATGCTGCGCCGCAGTGCTCCTGCGGCGGTGATTTTAACGCGTGTAAGAGAGCAGTCGGGCTTGTTCCGAGATTGTGGCGGCACGGCTGTAAAGAGGGTCACAGGCTCCACTCTGCTTGACGGGAGACTGCAGGTCACTGGAGCACCGTTACCTCCGCTTTCTCAGAGGCGCGGCTTGGCGGCCACGGGAGTCACGGGCCACCCAGTACCCGCCCAACCCAAACATAGAAAATTGGCACCCGCAAAATACATTTTCACCAGCGTCAGTTGTCGGCCGCAAATATTCTGAGCTCTGTGAAACACCCAATACGCTCATGAAATTGATTCCCTCGCGAAGCTTTAAATGGTGATGATGTATTGAAGTTCTTCTGCGTTTGGAAATAATCTGTAGGGAATAATAATTAAAATTTTGCTAACCTCCTGCGGCGAGTCAACCACCACCGTGGACATATGCTGGTGGGACACATCATTCTGTTATCGCTGCTGTATGCTCACCACGCAGCCAACGTCACAACGTCACGACCATGGTATGCTACATTAAACCGCATACGCATCACAGTTAAAACGCTGGAATCCAACCGCTGTATCTTGCATTACCACTTTGACCTTTTATCGACCTTTTATCGGCCTTTTATCGACCTTTGATCGACCTCTCATCCACCTTTTATCGACCTTTTATCACTTTTACCAGCATCGGAAGTGATCCCTGGCGACCCTACACAAAGGCATCCCAAACTCCAGCTTCACTGCTATCTCTGCAGGCTGCATAGCTCACTGGAGGCAAGTGATGTGGTGCGGGCGACAATGTCCTGGACCTATACTACCAGAGTGGGGGGCGGCCTCGGCGGCTTTTACTGACTAAATCCACCCCACAAACCGATCCATCGCAGTCAAGGCCAGAAATGCATCAAACCGTGGTCTGTTTCACACTGGTTACGTCGTCAACAGGAGCGTAAACCATCACAAAGAGGCATTCACCGTCCCACAGGTGACTTTCGAATTTAATCCCAAACGTCTCGCTTACTAAACAAATTGGTGAAATCAGGATTGACTGAGGTTGGCTGTGAGGACGGATGTGTGCAAAGCTTGGTCAAACAGCGGCCTGAAATGATTTAATATCTGTTCAAATCAACAGCGAACTATAGAAAACGGACAAGACTCGTGAAAATTAAACTAATGGCGTCAAGCAAAAACTCGACACTTTCTATTGTACTGCACTCGTTCATGCAACATAAAAGACGTGACCATTCTTCTCTAATCGCTATCAATTGATAAGCGGAGTGTTTCGTAAAAGGGCTGGGGTAAGTCGTGGTTAAGATTAGGAAAAGGTGCAGGATAACAATAAGGGTGTAGATAGCGTATCTCACATCTTGATTAACAAACAATAGAAGATCGCCT